CCTTGTAAGGATAGAGAGGCTATTTCCAATAGACCCTCGGCTCAGGAAAGCATAAGCACTACACTAATAGAAATTAATTAAGTGAATATTAATTAAGTGAGATGTCTACAGGAGATAAAAAGATTGTCTAGATAAATATTCTCATGATTGACACTATTAAATATCTTTCTTAAATTTTCTTTCTTTCAATTCTCCTCATGACCGGCAGTCTTCTCGGTTAGAACTCGTTGCACAGGGTTTGCCTAGCACGATTTACATCTTTTATGTAGTCTGTGAGATATTGCACAGTGAACAAGTTATCCAGTTCGCAACCGAAGAATCCTAGGGATTTTTCAGAAAAAAATAAATATCTTTCTTAAGAGACGGGGAAAATTGAAATATGGATAACAAGACAGTCTATAGATACATACGTACAATCTACAAAGAGAAGTCAGCATGCAAATATTTCTTCTTTCAACTAAATTTTTTTAATTTCCAAATAAATTAATTAATTCGCATGCACTACAGTCTACATGACAAATAGTAATCAAGAAGATTGACTATCGGAGGTGACGTTCCTCCTCCTCTTGGCCGGAAAAAGATGCCGGAATTCATCTTGCTCCGCCGCATGCCACTCCTTCACGGCCAACATCCGGCTATCATCAAAGTCAAGCTCATGAATCCCATAATTATTAGAATTAGTTTCAAAGAAGCAACTACCCGATAACCCTAATATCCCGGCCGCACCACCGCTAGGCGGCGGCGGCAGCTTATTTTTCCGGCGGCCAGCACCGACGTCGACGTTCCGGAGGGCACCACCGGCCGTCCAATATCTTTGACAACCTTTGCAAAACTGTCTTGGTTGGTTAACATTATAGTTATTGAAATAACAAAACTTGGTTTCTATACTTTTACATCTAGGGCAAGGAATAATCTTGTCTGGCCTTTTATTCTCAAGTTGATCATAATCATCATCATTTTTGCTTGATATTTGATCATTTTCTTCTTCTTTTTCTTTCACTTCTATTGTTGTTCCAAACAACTTGATGCCCGGCGTCCTTATTACCATAAGAGAAAACAGGACAAACTTTCCGTAAAGACTTAACGAGAGGCTGAATTCAAATACACTCAAAATCCACAAAAAAAGAAGTGAACGCTTTGCTGAGGAACAAAGTTTGCGCTTAGAAAAGAAATATAGGTGTGGGTTAGGACTTTCTTGAACTTCAGCCAGTTTCCCTAAATTAATTTCTTGGTTGTTTTTATATATATATATATATATATATATATGGGAAGAGAGATGTATGTGCATTCACTTGAAAAGGAAAAAAAATTGCAAAAGAAGTTTGAGCAATTATTATAAATCTATATATAGTATTTATTATAATTTTGATAAAATTTTATATGTAAATTTATATTATACATAAAAAATACTAGTAATTCAGATAAACAGTAATTGGCATAAAATGTTGAAGCTGAACTTTTTGTCCACATCATTACTCCACGTCATCTTGTTGCACTAAAGTCTCTCCTTGTAGTGGGCCCAGAAAGAGGTAGGTTGCCTACTCAATAGTATATTTTTCCAAAAGTGGCTAATAAGCTATCATAAAGATAAGGGATGAAGGAAATATTTTGTTTTAATATCAAATCAAATTAATTAGCTTTAATCTAAAGATTTCACGAGGACTGAGATTATGTTGATAAACTTTACACATCATAGTTTTAATATCTTAATCCTCAAGAGGGAAGCTCCAAAATTAGTACTCCCTCCATTTCAATTTAGATGAAATAGTTTGACTCGATACGGAATTTAAGAAAAAATAAGAAGATTTTTGAAACTTGTGGTCTTAAAAGTTTAAGGGGTAAAAATTTTGTGGGGTCATGATATTTGTGTGGTTATAAAAGATTCTTATTAAGGATAAAATTGGTAAAATGAAGAGTTTAAAATTGAATTATTTAAATGTGTCATTTATTGTGGAACAGATTAAAAAGAAAAGTACCTCATCTAATTTGAAACGGAGGGAGTATTAACTAATTTAAGTTTTACGCACCGATGCTTTAAATTATTACAATAACAACAATAACAAATCCAATATAGTCTCACAAGTAGGGTTTAGGAAAGGAAGATAGTACGCAAACCTTACTCCTATAGTAAATGTAGAGAGTTTGTTTCCAGTAGACCCTCGACACGAAGAAAAATAAGAAAAAATACTTTTAAAAAATGGCATAATTAATTTAATTTAACCAGTTTATTATGTTAGCCATCTTCTTTGTAGGTGATGCAGAAATTTACTTGCAATATAAAAATACACATTTACATAAAATTTGAACTCCTTATTACTATATGTACGTGAGATTTATTGTATACTGACAATATAAAAATGCATTTAAACTATTCAGTGTTTTTACCCAATTATACTATATTAGAAACTTAATTACCTATCTTCTCTATATTTTGTAGTTTTTAATAAGTATTTAGGTTTTTCTTACAAATTATGTAGATTGCTCCTTAAAATGCTCCCACCCCATTATTAGTGTCTTCAATTAAGATATTCAATTACATCATTTTCTTTTTTTCCCCTCTCCTCTTCTCTCTCCTTTTCCTTTTTACATCAAAATCCCTTAATTTATGCTTAGAATCTCCATCTTCATTTTTCCACCATTGCCGATAACTTTATATTATTAAAAAAATCATCAATTGTATCGTTCTTTTGCTAGGAGATTGGATAACACTGAAAATGAAGAAATATTCAGGAATTGTATAATAATTGTATGATAACTGTATCATAATTGTATTTGAATTATATCAGATACATCAATGCCTAAAAC